TTTCAAGTAATCAATTATCAAAGTACCATCTGCATCCGCCATTTTTTTTCTTAAAGTCAAAATAACTTAAAAACCATAAATGACAGATATCGACATATGGGTTTCAAAAGAACCGAAATTTCACGTAGAATCCAAAAAATGCAATAAAAAATAGGGGTTGCCATTTAAAATAACGAAGTTACTATCTACTTCCGGTGTTTCCGGAAGTGCGGCCATTTTGAAAATATTTTACATCGATTCGGCCTTCAGAGTAACTCCTAAGTACAAATTTTCAAAAACCTACCTATTTTACTTTCCCAGAAACGTTTAACTAAAGCTCCCAAAAAAACACCCTATATAATGTTGAAGAATCTCTTTCTCTTGTACCTTCAAATCTGGATTCACTTTGATTTCCTAGATGAATATAAAGTATGCTTATCCAATATACACTTTAGCTCTTAATTTCTCTTTCTAGAAGATTTTGAATCTAAAACAGTGGTCAAACTTTTTTGGCCGTGTTAGACATTCGAGAAGATTTTAGTGTCAGAACCAGAACAAGTGAATTCTCGTCTTACTTTTTTGCTTTAAACAATAAAGAGATATTTAAAGATGTTAACTTTAAAAATATCGAATTGTCAAACAGAAAACAAACAATGGTCACCAACAATTTCGAGGGGTAAGTTATGGCTGCCTTTCAAGTGTGTGAAAGGGGTCGGAGAAAAAATTTATATTTCGTTCTACAAAAAAATGCGTTCTGGGGGCATACATCAAATTTCCTATCCGTATCGAAAACGGCCATTTTTAAGAAGGAAATGAACAAATTTGCCATTAACGGATGGTCAACACTTTTACACTGGTGTGTGCTTATGTTTATTGGGATCAAGACAAAAGAACTATGTTCGTAGGGGCATTATTTTAAGAATATAGGGATGCAATGCCTCACATGCTCAAGTTCTCCTTTTTGTCATAACTCAATATTTCCTTTTTTCCGCGTTGTACGATATACACTCGTCTCCTTATAGAGATTCAATATGTAAATTTACAAAAATTTCCTATTACAATAAATTTGCATTTAAGAGGGTACCAGTATGATTTACTCCAAATATCATAAAATAAAACGAATCCTCTAAAATGTAAAATTTTCAATGGCATCTTTACAGTTCTTTCGCTTAGTAATTACGATAGGTATTTTTAAACATCAAATAGCAATTAAATTAAAATGCCTCCAAACGGTGTAAAGGGAGACTAAACGGAAACCGCAAATTCCATTTACTGCACACGTAAATTAAACTATAACATTTAGAGCGACGCTGGTAACAGTAATTTCTGTCTGGTTTTAACTGAAGAGGTCTGTAATCCAATAATCCCTTCCCAATTTATGCCACAAACCAAACTTGAAACCTGATAAATATTTTAGCGGTCCTACGCTTTCAGGATTTAAGATTTCAGTTAACGACCACCTGCATTTCCGTAAGTAAGAAATATGTGTCTGCATTTTCAATTGCACTTCAACCCAAAGCCGATAAATTATGCAAAATAGGTTAGGGTTGGAGCAAAATTTCAAAGGCGCCGTCATTGGTACAATACTGATAACAATCTTAAGTATTTCTTTGTAATCAACTGATACGGAAACGTTCAGTAAACTGTAGTGGAAAAGCATTATAATTTATATAAGTAGTAACGGTTACTGTTTACACTCTTTTGGCAATTTCACTGTTTCGAACGGATATTTTAGAAATTTGTTCGATTTAGCGACATACATTGGGTGATTTCAGCACGCATCTACTACTAAATTGTTATCCATAAAACCATTAAATAATATTATTCAATTAAAAGTACCGGGTGATCATCATAAGTAGTGCAGACAGTTTGAATTTCCCGCAAAACAAAAACATTTTAAAGTTGGTGAATAATCTTTATGTGATTTAATGGTAAATGTGGAGAAATCTTCTTTACAAAGTTAGTATTCGAGAAGTCGTAGCTCACGACACGATTCCTTTAACCCACAATTTAACTATAAACTGAAGTTTAAACTGACATTGTACAACTGGCCCTTAGTCAAATTAGTACATGACTCCTATCTGTCATGCACTAACTCCCAATCGCCAATTTGCGTAGTGACGTAAGCCGCGCTCGGCCAATATCGGCATTTCGTCGGCTGTGTGACAAAATTTGAAAGTTTCACGATATTATAATATGTTGTTTTAATTGACATTTTGCAATTAGAAGAAATAGTTATTTATATAACAAGAGCGCGAAGTTCAATTTCGCGCATTGAGACTGAAGGTATTTTGACGAGGCGAAGCCGAGTTAAAATATCAGTCAAATGCGCGAAATAACTTCGCGCTAGCGTTATATACAATATTTTTTCTACAACTGAACCGATTGTTAATTAAATTGCTGTTTAAGTTCAACTTTGTCCCGTGCGCGAAATACTTTTTTTCACTGTTGACGATTTCGCGCACGTTGTCAAGGGCAACCTTACTTATTAATTAACCGTTTAAAAATCTAGTACTTCGCGCTTCGAAATTCGTCAGAAAATGACAGGTTTTTTTTGACAGTTGTAGAAAAAAGTTATTTTTTATATGAAATGTTTAATTACAAGTTATAAACTTGACGATAAGACATAAAAAAGTTATATTAATTTTTTTCAGGAAGACCCTATACCAATATGTTGCTGGGAAAATTTGAAAGATGTGATAAATTAAACTAATGGAATATTATGTAACGAAAAAAAGTTTTATTCATAAAATTACAAAATAACTTACACTTTCAATTGATAAAGAAAAGATAGTAAATATATCCATTATAAAAAAATGAAATGAAAAACTGCGTTTGTGAAATTTTTTTCATAAAATTCCCAAGTAAGTTGCGCGTTCATGTGATCCTTAAAAATTGCTTGCGAAATCAATACTTGTATGTGGAAGTTTCAAAACCATTATTGGTCATCGTTTTATCAATCCAATCGACGACCTTTGCCACATTAGCATACACTCGTGGTCGTGGCAGTCCTCCACAATCAATACCCCAAGATACCACTCCGACTTGAAAATACGTATTTTGTTTCCCACGTATTGGACAAACTAGAGGGCTACCACCATCTTCTCTACATGTATCTTGATCCGGCAGACATCCAGCACAAATAAATGATTCGTGAAGGTTGAAATGGGTTCCTAACCGAGTAGTTCTAAGACTTGCTTGACAAGAATCCGTGTCAACAATTGGTACGTGAACTTTTCTTAAAAGTGCTTCGTCTTTGCGTGTACTTTCTCTTCCATAATTGTCTTTTCCCCAGCCGTTTGAGTAACAGACCAAATTATCTATAATCTCATCTTTAGTTGGTAAGCACACAATATCTACGTTTTCTTCTATTTTTACAGGAGAATCCAAAATTAAAAGGGCATAGTCGTGAAATAAAAGTTTTTTATTATATTCTGGATGAAGTATGATAGTTTTCACGTTTCTTTCTTGATGTGGATAGATTTCATTTTCGGTTTGAGCATCCCATTCACCGGCACGTATTTTATACAATTTAGTATCAGAAATACAATGGGCGGCAGTTAATACAACTTGGGGGTGAATAAGAGAAGCTCCACATTTATAGCTCCACGGTTCATTAAGTTTTTCTTCAGTTGACGCTCTACCGAGTAATGCTGTCATCCACGGAAATTCACCATATTGCGCGTGGTCATCGTCACCAGTGATACGGAACCCTACTCCCTCTGGGTTTCTCTGTCCACATGTTCGGTTTTGTTGTCCATTATTATTAACTGGATTATCAGGTTCACAGCAGACATATAAATAATCATCACACTTGTCAGTAGTTCTAAAACGAAAAAAGTGAATATCAAGTTTTAATTAATTATAGCCCTGATTAGAGCGGAGTCGGTACAATTGTTTGTTGATGTATATTCAATTAATATAATTAATTAGTAATTACTAACGGCTCATTGAAAACAGAAATATGTTGTGCTTTGCGACAATGAAGACGGCCAATTTCGGCGCATACATGACCGGTGGTCTTCTGTTCTCATAAATCCGATATGCACCTGACAAAGTTGTTTATTGGGTAATATTGTTCCAGATGTGCAATTATAACATAATTAACAAAAACGGCCCGCACGCTCATGGAATAAGACCACGTCAGATAAGGTTGCTGTTACTGTTCAAAATGACATGAGTTTGAATTGCGACTCACATATCACGTTTGTTTATTCTGGGCACATATCATATTCCAAAAACCTACCTAATACGACGTTTAAATTTCAGAAGGTCTGGTGAACACACTGTTAGTGTTACTTTTATGCAAATTTTAAACCTGTTTTTGACGAAATAGGTGCAAACACTTGAGTAAACTTACCCGAAGAATTCAGGTTTAACCTCTTTAACCTAGAAAATATTTATAATTTTAATGAATCAGGAATAAGCACTGTTCATCTACGAGTAGATTCTAGAAAGAGGTTAAAAAAAGAATAGTTATCGCTGAGAAAGGATCCAATGAAACAGTCGGAATTTTAGTATCAGCGACGGGAAATATCTCTTTTGATGAAGGGGGCAAATATGGGTGCAGTGGACTATGACTATGAGTCTCACTGAATAGATTTGAACAGTTCTTTATGTACTTAGATGATTTCAACAAAATACCTATCGTCGAACATCCAGTTTTATTAATCCTAGACGGCCACACCAGCCATAAACTGTTGGAAGAAAAACCAAATTTACCTTTTGACAATATCCCCCTCATTGGTTGCAACTGTTCGACCTATACTTCTTTGATCCATTCACGAAACTGTATTCGCGTGAGTCTACATGACTGCACATGCCAGTACGAGGATGTGCCGTAAAGCCTTTAAAGGGTTTGAAAATTGTGGTATACGAGGGTAGCGCCAAAAATTTCTTGACTGACGTACATCCAGAGATTGCAGTCGGCCAAGAGTTTCATAACACTGCACTTCAAATCTTATTAACCTTGGAAAAACAAGCATAAACTTTATGCTTATACCCAATACCATATAGTACATGAACTGCTATTAGCAATATGCTTTCAATACAAAATGGGAGGTGTTATATCTTAAAAGTACGCACTCTAAGAATAGAAAGAAAATTTAAAGAGACAGTTACGCATCGCATAATTAATTAACGTTTTTCAAATCGTGTCTCATCGGAGAACTTCGGACAGATTCGTTTACCCTGAAGTTCACTTACCCAGGCGATGTCCTTGACCATATTTGAGTTAGAATTAGCAATCCATTTACTGTATGGTCTAAGACTTTTTATCATTCGGTTTCCTTAAATTTGTCAGTCGTGTAACACCGCGTCAGAAATCACAAAAATCGGTTACCCAGTCGCGCAATTAGTGCAAGGTGAGTCCCCAAATCCAAACGTGAAAAAAGTGAATCGATGGAGTGGATAAGCACCTCAGATAGATCATGGTTGTGAGGGCATTTTTCATATTGACGTTAAAGCCCGAAACACCACAGTGAGTGAGATGTATTATGCAACACTCCTGTACAAATTATGGCAGAATATTAGGGAGAAAAGCCCAGAGAGATTCAGAGGAGTGCTGCAAATGCAAGCCGCAATTCGTGATTACGATTTTGAACAAATCGATCACCTCCAGTATAAACAAATAATATGGCATCAAGTGACTATTACCTGTTTGGAAAATTGAAAAAAGGGCTAAAAGGACGTCGATTCAGTAACGAAATAGAGATGACAGCTGCAGTTTGGGCACATTTTGAGGACAAACCGAAAGAATATTTTGGCCTTTTCTTTCGTATTTCGTGAGTTTCTGACCCTGCTATCGTATTTTCATATCACAGGGATTTGACGACACTGGTTTTCTGTCTTCATAAATTCTAGGTGATTCTTCACAAAGTCGCTCTTCAGACTTTACAATTGAATTGTATCGACATCACAACAGTTCGGAATGATCTCCTGTAACAGAAGTGATAATGAGACCCCTCACTCCGGTACCTGTCGACAGGATAACTGTCCTGGTACTACTCAGCAGTTAAAGGGTTGTTCTTTCACAGACACACTTCAACTGCTGTCTCCATACCTCAGTAAATAGCAAAAGATGGGAAAGGGGGAAAATAAATGCAAGAAAAGTCAACGATGATTTTGTAAAACTGAAGGAAAGGAAGACCATGAAACCAAAACGACGCAAGAAATTAGAGAAGCAGGAAGATCGTTCAAAACTAGTGGTGCAAACAAAAAAAGAAAAAGTAATTGAAAGCAGTGAACGCGAAGATTCTGATACAGAGTGTTTATGCTGCACTAAAATATATAGCCCAAGCAAGAAGAAAGATGGCTAGATGCGATGCCAGACCTATTACATATTGACCGGAGGGCATGCAGAACCTAGAATCAAACAGATTTGTTTTTTTGTTAAACGAAGAAACTCTTTATTTGGTCAGATGAATAATAAAACATACTGAATACCTATATGGGCTATATGGCATATAGATACATACAAAATCGTTCTAGGTGGTGCTCACTGCCCAATGCCCCAGCCTCCCTTGGGGAAATCCGTTTCAGATAATAGATGACCAACTTCACGAGATGATGGGAAATATTTCGTTTCTGCAAATTTAATGCGAGGTTTAATGTACTCCAATGTAGTAATAGTTATTTATTTAATCAGTGGGATAACGGCCTCATTAACTTACGAATGCGACAATTGCGCATACGAGGGCGTTAGCCCTAGCTATTGTAAGAGCATGAGTATGTTAATGGCCGTTAGCCCAAGTATTAAATACAACTTTTTATCTGCGACTGTTCTTCTACTGCTAAAAACGAAAAATAAATTTGATGCATTTTTTTAAATTTCAATCGAAGTAGCATAGTTAGCAGTTTTCGACGCCATAGAAACAAGAAAATCCTAACGTCAAGAAAATTTGTACGTCAAAAATTTTGCTTCTGATTTCTTTGCGTATGTCATGAATGAGTCTGGAACTATTCCATCAGACGTTAATGTTTACAATAAATAATCTTGATAGTTGATTTTTGATCATACATTGTTTTGACAAGGGCTTATCCCACTGAGTGTGGTAATGAAGTTCTTATCCCATTGAGTGTGGTAATTAAGTTCTTATCCCACTTAAAATGACCGGGATAAGTGAGAGTTATCCTACAGGCGCAGATAAATCCCTTTTACATATTACATTATACCACGATACACGTGCATTGTACCCATTGGAAAATTTTCATACTAAGAAGGGTCTCATTGAAGAACAATGCCAATAAGTTTTTATCTACAAAACTGAAAAGTAATACACCATGCAGCAATGAAAATGTGAAATCGATCCAGTCCTTACGGTTTTGTTTATTTATGAATACGTCAAAGTTTTTAAGCTTGATTAATTAACTATGCGTTATTCACATTGTCGTATAATACAATTTGGCATCTAGAAAATGCGTTTCGACATAACGTGCAATAAAATTAGGGAATAATGATTTTTTGAATCGTTTGATAAATCTTATATTCTTAATCAACGAACTCATTCAAGTAAGCCAAGAAACGAAAATGTAACCTATCTACAGGGTGGTACCTAGCGCGACGCAGCATAGGGATTTATTTCAATGGTCATTTCTTTATAGTCAATTACTAGCTCCCCTAATTATTTTAGAGCAAAAGTCTAAACACGTTTTCTTCAGAGAAAAAAATACTGCATCTGTTTCAAAACTGTAGAAATCGACAAAATAAAAAGGTACATTTTACAATAAATCAGATATGCCTTGGAATTGCCTAAAAAACAGCGACAATGTTTCATTATTTGCCGAAATTTATACTTGTTTATCCCGTGTGTAAAGATATGACTTTTACGGGTTAGGAACGGGAATAAATTCAAAGTTGACGGCAAGACTTGACAAATCATACATTACATGCTTCTCAAAAGTAACATCATTAAACCAGACACCGTATTGTTTGCAGCAAGGTTTGCAGCCGCCAGCAACTCAAAAATATTTAAGATTGTACAATCAAATCAAACACCATCAGCATCAAAATAATCGTAACAACTTCACTTCTGTTTTCAGTATTTAGATTCCCTGTCATGTCATGTAATATTTCCTTGCACAAAGCAGGACAACTGGGTTATTCCAAGAACGAAAAAGACAGAAAATGGAAATGGTTTACAACTAAATGAGCAAAATTCTAAGGTATATAGGGCTGGAGATCAAAAAAGAATTCGATTTTAGCAGGAGAGCAAGAGGACATCTTTGGATTGTGCCAAATGCAACGTGGCATATTATATTGATTGTACTTGGGATTGATATAAAAACTTGGTGGTGCAGAAGCGAAGAAAGCGAATCAGTATCTAAAGACGTCCGTTGTCGTTAATAAGAAACCGACGTGTAGGAGAGATAATGAAAAACTTGTATATTAGATCAACAGTGATTTCCAGTACGTTTGAAGGCGGCTAATGACAGTCCGAAGAATTCGGTATTCTGTTGATCTCGTCAACCATGCATGCGGTTTAGAAGGCTATCTCGGATGTATAGCGTTCGGCATTGTCGTTAATATGAGTTGAATAGTATGGTGACCAGATCGTGCAGCAATAGTCCAGATGCGACCTAACCAGGGAGAAGTATAAAGTTTTTGTAGGCCGCGTTTCACCTTATTTTGATGAAACACATTCCCGTAAGATCGAGAATGTGTATCTGGTGCAACTGGACAAGGGCTGCAATTTAAAAATTTTGGGGTTATCAGCACCCACCAAAACTCCCCAGTGTATAAAAGTTCTAAACCATATAAAATGCAATTTTTATGACCCGTTACCTTGATGACGAAATTTTCAGATTTTTTATTTACTCGTTTGAAATTTTTATACATTTCCATCCCGGA